CGCACCGCCCCCAGGCCCCCGCTCCCGCACGCCCGCTGCCGCCGCCGCCACTTCCGGGTTACCGAGCGCCCGCGCCCCGGCCGGGCCCCGGCGCCGGGCTCGGCATCTGGGCGGGGCTCCCCGGCCACCTCCCACGACTCCGCGTGTGAGGGCGCGGGCACCTGCTCTGGCCTGGGAAGCGAGCCCTCCTTCCCGGGACGGACCGGGGCCCGGAGCATGGGGCGTCCGGCTTAGGTGTCTGCGTGGGGGGCAAGGGGTCAGGTCCCCAGAGGGGGCCCTGGAGGGGGCGCCGGCACCTTTAGCCCCCTGGGAAGCACGACCTGGGGCCGACAGGGGCTCTCCGGGAGCGCAGGGACCCGGAGGCGCGGGGCACCCGGGCTTAGGCACGTGGGGCAGGTGGGCCGATCCCCAGGCCGGACAGTGCAAGTGGTGCGGGTATCCTCCCCGATCGGACCATTCCCCTCTCTCCCCTCCCCCTGGAATTCCCTTCCTCAAATCCAAGTTTTCTCATGCATGGAGGTTCTTGGGAATCTATTGAAAATTTAACGAGTGGAAGAGAGTTGGGATGAACCTGAAATACTTGACTCTTTGGGTCCATGGTGCTTTCTGAACTGCCTCTTCCCAAAGTCTCAGGACCATAAAGGGTACTGGTGGTGTGGGATAGAGCGGCGATCGCTGTATTTCCCTGTTACAGGAGGCTGTTTCTGCATATGTAGCCACAGTATTGCTTTCCTAGGGGCATGACTGGGCCTTTAGTAAATCCCTGTATCTATAAAAGTCAGCTACTGTAACAGGGCCGCACTGTATAGTTAGCAATATATCACGTGGCCGTTGTCATTTCTAATCCCACGGGCAGTAGATTTTCTAGTAGCAGCTAGGCGTCCTTTACAGTGCTAGTTTCTCAAGGCTTGTTTCTCGGGCCCTGGATTTTTAATGGTCTCAATCAGGAAAGATTTTGTAATGATTTAAATCCATTGTAATCTTGGCATGCACCTTTAAGTGATTTTTTTCCCCCTCCAAATATTACTCTCAGTGCCTTGAGACTGAGTAAGCTCCGGTGCCAACTTCGCAGAGCCTTCTATCCTTCCTTTCTCCTCCTGAATTGGCAGCTAGATTCTCTTTCAGGAATTGACAGGAGATACCCTTCCTGGACTGCCAGCAGGGCAGCTAAACACAAGGAGGTTGCCAGCATCACCACTCTGGATCTGTTGTTTTAACTCACAGACATCCAGGAGAATTTAAACATTGCTGTGGCTTTTGTGGAAGATGTATTTATTTATTTATTTATTTATTTATTTATTTATTTGCGGTATGCGGGCCTCTCACTGTCGTGGCCTCTCCCGTTGCGGAGCACAGGCTCCGGACGCGCAGGCTCAGCGGCCATGGCTCACGGGCCCAGCCGCTCCGCGGCATGTGGGATCCTCCCAGACCATGGCACGAACCCGCGTCCCCTGCAACCACTGCACCACCAGGGAAGCCCCGAAGGTGTATTTTTGAGCACCTTCATCTAAATGAATTTACCCATACTGATTTCTTTTTTCTTTCTTTATTTGGCTGTGTTGGGTCTTCACTGCTGCACACGAGCTTTCTCTGGTTGTGGTGAGCGGGGACTACTCTTGATGCGGTACACGGGCTTCTCATTGTGGTGGCTTCTCTTGTTATGGAGCACGGGCTTTAGGTGCACAGGCTTCCGTAGTTGCGGCACGCAGGCTCAATAGTTGTGGTTCGCAGGCTCAGTAGTTGTGGCTCACGGGCTCTGGAGCGCAGGCTTAGTTGCTCTGCGACATGTGGCATCTTCCCAGACCAGGGATCGAACCCGTGTCCCCTGCATTGGCAGGCAGATTCTTAACCACTGAACCACCAGGGAAGTCCCCATACTGATTTCTATAACCTTCAGGACCTGGTTTTAAAAGATTATTTCTTCACTAAAATATTAATAGTTTTTAAATGTTTTTGAAACTGTCCAAAAACTTGGGCTAAAGAAAACTTGGTTGGCAAAGCCTGTTCAGACTAAATATTTGAAGTCTTATTTTAACGTTATTTGCACTTGGTGATGTTTCACCCCAAACCAAATTTTATCTTCTGGAGATTAGGTTTCCCTTTCTAAAAAGCTTTATAACTTGCTACTGTTTAGGCACTTTGTTTCTTGTATTCAACATATACTGATGTAATGTTTTTCATGCTCACATCACCTAAGATGTTAGAACTTTTGTGCTGAAGCTATAAAGATAAGACAGCCCCTGCTCTCAAGTACCTTACAATTTAATTAGAGTATTGGCAGAAGATTCAGAACACTTTTCACCACGCATTCAAAACAAAACAAAACAAAACAAACAAAAAAACCCCAAATCCCTGTAAAAGCTAAGGAAATGGTTTTGAATCCTGGTTCCATGATGATACTTCTGTGGGAAGGTAAGGTGATAGCCAAGTGTGTTACTCCCTAATCTTATTCAGAATAAAACAGAATTTGGGGAACTGAAATGAAAAAGTGTTTAACATGCCCCTTGGTCAGTCTTTCTCCAATACTGCTCTCCTCATCTGTCTTTTGATGGGACTTAAATAGAATGGCAGTTCATGAAAGAGTGAGATTCCCAAGAAGGTGTGTCTAACGTGCAGCTGATGGAAGAGACCAGCTTTATATTCCAGATAGCCTGGTGGTAGTAGTGTTAATATTGTTAGGAAAATTTTAAAGTCAGATATTTGGTTTTTTACATCCCTAAAGGATTTGTGGAGTGTCACGGAGTATAATACCAATAAATAAATAAGTAAATAAATAAAAGCCTGGTTTTTATTTTCATCCTCTTGGAAGGCTACACAGAGGTGGATTCAAAGAGCATTTATTGTGGGAGGGAGATGCAAGAGGGAGGAGATATGGGCATATATGTATACGTATAGCTGATTCACTTTGTTATACAGCAGAAACTAACTCACCATTGTAAAGCAATTATACTCCAATAAAGATGTTAAAAAAAAAACAAACAGAGCATTTATTTCCCTGGAGAGTATGTTGGTTCAGGTTTGTGGGAATATTAAATTGAGACCCTCTTTTAAATGAAATTGCCCATATTGATTTCAATAACCTTCCAGACCTGGTTTCAAAAGACCATGTCTTCACCAAAATGTTTAGATGTTTTTGAACTATTCAAAAACTTGGCTAAAGAAAAATCTGGTTGACAAAGACTGTTCAAACTATGTATTTGAAGTCTGTTTTTAAGTTATTCAAACTTCATGAAGTTTCACCTAAAACCAAAATGTTATCTGTGCCATAGAATAGAGCTCCCAAATGTTTCTCACCCCATGCCACATATAGTCATGGTCAAGTTTGTGTGGCCCCTTGGGACAATGCCTCCTCCCACCCGGGGGGGCTCAGCCTCCCCAGACTGAAGGGGTTCAATATCTGCACACCTCTCACACCCACAACAAATGTGGCAGCGTGCCTTGGCATATTGGTTGGAGAACGTCAACATGCAGCACAGGAAGAATAAATTTGCCCTGTAGAATGCAAAAGTCAGGGATTACTAGCTGTTCACTTTGACCTTAAAGAATGTCTCTTTGGCTCTTCCTACATTTTAGTAGAGAAAGACGTAAGTTTGGGTCTAGATCAGCAAATGTATTTACTAGCTACTTAACCATGATTCGGTCACTGAGTTGATGTGCAGAATGCAAAGGTGGCCAAGACACAGTCCCTCCTGCCCTCAACAAGCTCATTGGTCTGCTGCTCAGACTAACTCTGCATCCTGCTAAGCCAGTCTGGGTCAGTAAACTGAATGATATTCCAAGTAGCTAAATGCCTTGGTCTCAAATTATTTAGTATTGGCCCTTTACACATTGAACTTTTCTTCCAGATCAGTCCGCTTGATTTTGAGTGGCTCAAGATGGCCTCAGTTGTGTCAGCAGTGTAGAGGAGAATGATCCATTTTTCACTGACCATAAGAGGAGGATATTTATGCTTCAAAACTGAATATGGTGTTTTCGATGGAAGGTAAAAGAGCAATCTAAGATACATTGCCCCCCAGGAATTCCCTGGCAGTCCACTGGTTAGGACTCAGTGCTTTCACTGCCAGGGCCCTGGTTCAATCCCTGGTCGGGGAATTAAGATCCCGCAAGCCGGGTGGCACAGCCAAATTAGGAAAAAAAGAAAAAAATGAGTGCCCTGTTTTACTTTTACTTTTCTTTTCTTTTTTTAAATTTAGGACTGGATGCTCTGTAAAGGCAAGGATCATACCTATTTTGGTCACCACTGTTTCTTCCATGCCTGGCTAAAAGAAGATGCTCAGTAAATATTTATTAAATTGATCAAGTAGGGCTTCCCTGGTGGAGCAGTGCTTGAGAGTCCGCCTGCCGACGCAGGGGACACGGGTTCGTGCCCCGGTCCGGGACGATCCCACATGCCGCGGAGCGGCTGGGCCCGTGAGCCATGAGTGAAAAACTATGACTGGAGAAAGTGCTGACAAGCAAGAAACCTCCACAGGTTGCGGAGCAGGCAGGCAGAAAGGGAGTGGAAGCATGCCGGGCTTTAATCCCAAAATACCTGCTAGAAAGAGAGAAGACAAAGGCAGCAGAAACAGATTTGAAAGAGACCTGTATATCGCTCTCTGATCTTCAGCAAGAACCACAAAGGCAAGGAGTATAAGAAAGAAAAGGAAAAAAAGTGTGGA